ATTTTAAATTAAATATTAATAAATTATTAAGTTATAAATTTGATATTATGAATAATGAAAATGTCTAAAAACGTTCAAAAAAATGGAATACATTTGGAAAGACATATTTATGTCTGAAAAATGTCTAGAAAACAGGATTATATCTGGAAATTATCTGAAAAATTTTCAGAAAATGTCCAATTTTGCATTCTAAAGAAATTGAATATTGAAATTCTAGACAATGATATTTTCTAAACAAAATGAATGTCTGGAAACTACCAAGATTTGGAACATATTCTAGACAATAGAAATGTTCAGAATTTGTATATTATTATTTCAATACATTTTTCTGTTAAATTTTAGACATTCTTTTTATAGGGGAGAATAGTCACACAAATAGGTATGATGCCTTCTTCACATTGTACACGATATTTAATTATATGAAAATCTTTTTTTGGACCATTCATCAAGAAATAAATCACATTCCTTTCAAGATGAAAAAAACTATACCATTAAATAACTCAAAGTTTGCAGTCTCACTAGAAGAATAGGTAGGTAAATTAGATGGTACATAATGCTTGATATTAGTAGTATCATTATAATTATCATAAAAATTGTTATCTTCAAACATATTAAAGAGCAAAAAACGTTGACCCAAAAGAAAATAACATAAACAAAAAAAAGCTTATTTTAAAAAGTACAAAACGATAAATTAATTATTGATTAATATGATAATTCAATCAATGATGTCACAAGTAACTACCATAAAAATGTCATTATAATGTGATCATAATAAATATTGTCATGCTACATGATACCCTTCCTTCTTTTATTTTTTGTAGTATTTTGAGGACTCTGTTTTTTTATGATATGTGAAATCATATTCATTTCAAAATTATTTATTACAGGGAAGCCATACTTAATGTAATAATACGAGCCAAAGTCATGTGGTAGTGATATTTTTTATGGTGATACTGAAAAAGATGTTATAATAGGATACGCTGTCAACTAATTAAATCAAAACTATATACAGTGGCCCACAAAAGAAACGCAAGTGTGATTGGTTACCTTTGAACGGCTATAACTCATCAACCACAAATG